AGAAGGCCATCTAAGGGTTAAAATAGCTACAGGTATAAACACCTATAGGCAAAGTAACCATAAAACTCTGTCACTTTTCAAAATAAAAAGTTAGATTGATTTCACTCAATATATTATAAGCATCCTTTTTCCAAAATCTTACTTCTAGAACATCATTTTAAATGGCTGCATCATATTCTACTATAAGCACATGCTAATCTTTTTAGTTATGGAATTTCATATTAATACAAGCAGCATTACCATAACTATCCTTACAACTAAATCTTTATACACCCTTTCGATTATCTAAGATAAATTTCTAGAACTGAGATAACAAAGACAAAGGGCAAGATTTTTGAAACCTCCCCCAAGTTACTCAAATTCTTACTCCAAACAGCTACATTAAATTTTCATTTCTTCACTCATGCCAGTACTAAATAACATCATTCTCTTGCCAATTTTGCTAGATTAAAAAAAATGAAATCTTGTTTCAAAAATACTGGTTTTAATTACTAAAGGGATTGAGGATTATTTTATCTTTAAACCATGTACCTTCTTAAATTACTTATCCTTGTATTTAAAAGCTTTTTTAATTGGCAGGAATTTTTATTAGCAGTCTGTAAAAAGTTTTTTATATATTAGGAAAGAGCCATACTAGCAAGATCATTACTGCTACTAACATTTTTTCCTGGTGTTTTCCTAGTTGCTCCCTTAAAGTTTTTTCATGCTGCTTTTAGTATCTTTAAATTCCATACTTGAAAAATTCAAGCAACACAAAAAGAACTGGGGGGAGGAGAGCACCAGAGAAGGAAGCCTGGTCTGAACCTGTGCCTCTGACTGCCCTGGGAACTATGAGTGCTGAAAACACACTCAGAACAGCCCAAAGGTAAAAGAGAAATGAACTGAGGTTTGAATCTAACTAACCTAACCACTACTTAAGTCACTTAGAGCGAGAAAGAGAGAGCAATTCAGAAAAATACAACAGAACACAGGGTCTGTACAACATACCCTCCACCATACCCAGACACATTCAAAATGGGACCCAGCTTCAAGTGAAAAGACAACCGAGATTAATCCTGAGGCCCAGAATTAGAGCTACAAAGATTGCAAAGCAGCTATTCAAGCTCTGTTGCATGATAAAGAGGTAAATATGTTCATAGTGAATGGAAAAACAGGAAGCCTCAGCAGAAGAGTAAAAATGAAGAGTCAAAAAGAATTCTAAAAATATTTGCTGGGTTCACTTACAGGAAGATTACAGCAACACAGGAAAGCGTGAACTGAAGGAAGATCAGGAAGTTATTCAATGTGAAGAACAGCAGAAAAAGGATTAACAAAAATAAGAGCTTTGGGTACCTGTGGGATCATAATAAAAGTTCTAAAATATAAGCAATTGGAATTGTAGAAGGAAATAAAGAGTGAAGTGTGAAAAAATAAAAGAACCATGCCAGGGCATATCTCAGTTACAGTGCTAAAAACTAAATATGAAAGCAACAAAAGCATCCAAAAAGAAAACACAGAGAACTTAAATTGTGTAAGTACTGAAACAGAAACAATAAAGAAGATGAAAATAAATGAATAAAAAAAGATAAGCCTTGACAATAGTAAGCATAAGAAGAATAAAAGAGCTATATTAATATTTGATAAACTTCAGGACAAAAATATTACCACAGATGAAGAGAGACATATCATTATGACACAATGATCAAATCATTAAAAAAGACATATAATACATAAATACTTCAGAGTAAAGTTTCAAAATTCATAAAGCAAAACACTTAACAGAAAGAAGAAATTAATAATTCCAGTTATACTTAGAATATTTTAACACCTCATCTCAGTCAATGCATAAAAAATTATGCAAAAAAAATCGGGAAAGACAGGTGATCTGAACACCACCATCAACTATCTTAACCTAATACAGACAGAACACTACACACAACTGCAAAACACACATTTCTTTTCAAGTGTATTTACCAAAACAACCACATGTGGAGTCATAAAATAGCTGCAACAAATTTGAAAGGATTCAAAGTATAGTGTTTTCTCTGCTCACAATGAAATTCACTTAGAAACCAATAAAATAACTAAAACTCTTCTTAAAATTGGACAACTAAATGGCAAAATTATAAATAACTGATGCAAAGAAAAAAAACTGTAAGAGAAATTATAAGGTATTTAAAACTGAATGATAATGGAAAAACACAATATATTCCTGGGATGAAGATAAAGCTGTTGTTGGAAAAAGAAATTACAGCTTAATAGGAAAGTTATAATGTATCGGGGGGTGGGGGGGGAAGGAAGAGGTCTAAAATCAATGACCAATGGTTTCAATGTAAAAAATCTAGAAACAACAAAGGAACTCCAAGTAGGAAAAAGGAGGAAATAAGAAAAATAAAGCAGAAATTAATAAACATAAAAAGACAAACTATATGAAAATTAATGAAGACAAAAAGTATTCCTTGGAAAAGATTAACAAAACTGATAAATGCCCACTTAGACTGAGCAAAAGAAAGAGAGAGAACACAAATTACTAGGTATAATATCAGGAATCAAAGAGGGGTTTATCAGTACAAAACTCAGAAATAAACAAAGCATAACAAAGTAACATCCAAATATCTGCAAGTATAGTTCTGCTTTTCATTTTTAATAGACTGTTTGTTGTAAAGTGGTACTTATTGTCACTGTAACTTGTATTTTCTCACTAGTGAACTTGGGCATATTTTTTATAAATTGGTTGGTGAAAATGTAATGTATGGTATCCTACTTGGAAAACATGGACAGCATCTATTAAATTTAAAAGTACATATTTCTAGTCTGGGTGCAGTGGCTCACACCTATAATCCCTGCTACTAAGGAGATGGCAACTGGGACGGTAACAGTTCAAGTACAGCCCAAGCGAAAAAGAAAGAACAAATGTTAGCAAGACTCCATCTCAAAAAAAAAGCTGGGCATGGTGGTGTGTATCTGTCATCCTAGCTAAGCAGGAGGCATAAGGAGAAGGACCATGGTCTGAGGCCTACCCAGGGCAGACATGTGAGGCCTTACCTGAAAGAAACCAAAAGCAAAACACAGCTGGGTGTGTAGCCTAAGTAGTAGAGTGCCTGTCTGTCAAGCATGAGGCCCTGAGTTCAAACCCCAGTACCATAAATTAAATAAATAAATAAATATCCCTTTAATCCCGCAATCTCACACCTAGCAATCCATTCCACAAAAATAAAAAAGGGCAAATGCCCTTTGATCCAGTAATCATATCCTTGAGAGTCATTTCCAGAAAAAAAAATTCCACTGCTCAAAGATATTTAACAGGAGGCTATCACAGCAATGTTTACGATGGAAAAATTATGGAACAAATGCCACTGATACAGAAATGAAAAATTATGACATAATTATCCCCAGTCTCACTATGTAGCCATCAGAAAGATTTAGAGCTTTGTCAGATGACCTGAAGAGTAGTTCCATGAGGTATTGAATGAGAAAAATGAGAAGCAGAAAATCAAGCATCCAAATAAACCATTAAAAACAAGCCCTGCTGGGTATAGCTGCTTGTGTTTCTGTATACCATGTTATATTAGAGACCACAGTGATAGATTTGTTAGCACAGGCTGGTTTTCAGGCAGCAAGACTAATGAAAGGCTTGTATGAAAAATGCGTAAACTCCGGCAAAAAGAGGGTGAAGAGAAAGATTTGAAAGAATGTAAATGACTACATCTACAATCCATAAGCAAGTAACACATTATAAATATGCAAAAGAAACTAAATGAAAACATTCTAAAAATGTTCTTGACATGGTCCCTGAAAACTATTCTACTTTCTTCTAGAACTTGAAGTTTTATGAACTGTAAGTTTAGTAGGTTTTTTTCTTCTATGTAGACAAAAACAAAAAAGACAAGACAAGAAAAGAAAGGTTTCCAGTCTTCTTATCAGAATTAGGCTTAAATTATTATTTAAAAAGGATATATAAGTGTGGCAATGGTTACTGAAGGAAGTTTCAGAAAATCTGTCATCAGACTAAAGAGAGAAAACCAATTACGTATACATCATTCGGCAATACCCTTTCACGGAGGTTATCTCTGGAATGCCAGCTATCATTTCCCTCACAAAGGATCTGTTTAATATGTAGTGTATGAAATCAGAGAACAGCTCATGTTCAGTATTAAATGCTGATTTCTCAATGTAAATCTAAACTCTATAAAGTTCTTCATTAGCAAGAAATGACTAAAATAAATTATTTTTAAAAATAATGTCACAGATTCACACCCCCAGAAAAATAAATGCTTCTAACTCTTATTCTAAGGAGTCAGGATACAAAGAGAGTAAGTCAAATTTTCACATAATTTACAAACTCCAGCATTAAGATGAAAAATAAATATTACTTGCAGAAAACCATAAGCAGCAAAAATTTCAGCATAAATGATTTAACTGCAAGTTCAAATGCTGACATTATTCAAAATTTAATTTATAAATTATTCGTATAATTTATAGTTATACATAGAAACCATTTCATCTATTTTTAAGCAAAATATCGCTGTTTTTTTTAAGAACATAACAGATTACAAAGAACATTTTAAGAGTTCACTTTGAACCACAATGGCATTCAATAGTAGGAAGCCCTAACTTATAGGCATGTTGTTTTCCATTTTGACTTAGAAAGCCAACAGGCAGTATATAAAAAGAGAGGGAAAGCACTGTGAAGCCATTATAGCACTAAACAAATAAACAAATAAAAGAAACAAATTCTATGCAACCACACAGAGCAGAAGAGAAATCTACACTTAGAGAAAGAAGCCATAGCAACCAGAATGAGGCGAAGGCCAGGTGACCTGTTTCAAAGCAAAGGACATATTTTAAAAATTGGAAAATGTTTTAAAGCAATATACTTTCACATGCATGCAGAGAAAAACATATCAAGTATTGAAAAGCACCATGGAGGCAGACCTCTAGAAATTTCTAAGCCTAAAAAGGTTAAAAAATCAGATCATTTAATTCTTCCAGAAGAGAAATAACCACATAAAATAGTTTACCTTTTCAGATTCACCATTGCCCAGGGAATCCCGTAGGTGTGTTAAAGGCAGGAAGGAGTTTCTCAGCCAATTGCACTGCCTTAATCTTGAATATCTGAGATAAAAAAACATGAATAACCATAAATTATAGCCATCAATAAATGTTTGCTTATTACTACCTCTCATGCTACCTTATTACTACACACCACAACGTACTAGGGACATTGAAGGAGGGATCTCACTGTTACCACACAAACACAGATATCAGAAGAAATATATGCATCTATATACTGAGAAAAGGTACCCAATATGCAAAACCCTGAAACTACAATAGCTTGAAAAGACATGGTTTTGAGATTATCTGTATTTTCACATGGCCAAAAAAAATAATCAAGAAGCCATTTAGTTATGGGATTTTTATTCAAGATATTCAAGCTTAATTCAAATATTAAAACAAAAGAAACATATAACACAATTTGTATAAATGCCCTTGAATTACTATAAACACTCTTAGTTCTCAACATTGTCCATGAATGTCTGACTGCATTAAGAAAACATCTGAGTTCACATTCTAAGTTTACTTTGAGAGCTATCAATACTTCATCCTGTGTCCTACTTGCTGCTTTTTTAGTACCCAAAGCAGTAAATTGTCTAAATGTCAGTGAACATTTTAAACCATGTATTAGTATCAAGGTATACAGTAAAACTTCTACTTTCTTAGCATGTACTATTACTAAGATGTAGACAGTAAAATTTCAACTATTGCTTAGCATATCCCAATAGATAGGTTTGTGTACTCTACAATGAAGACCACTGACTTACAGGCTCCAAACTGAGAGTGAGTCCAAACATTCTACTAGTGGAAAAAAAAAAAGATAAAACAAAACAAAAACACACATTCTATTAGGAAACATCACATGTTCTCCTATTAAGCCACAACCCTATCCTCTCTTAAATGGATTCCAAACTGATCAACTATTTAGGATTCCACCTTCACACTGCAGCAACTATTTGTGATAAAATATTCGATTCTTATTAGTATATGACAGACTGGAACAAATCAAACTTTTGAGTTGAGATTATATTCAGCAAAGCATCCCAACATCACTGGGTATAGAAAATATTAGAGAAAAATAATGTGTAGCAGACAAAGAAATATGACATTAAGATGTTCTGCAAGGTTCCTTAAAGAACCTTCACAAATCTTTTAATTAGACATACTCACATATCTACAATTTACCATTTCCTTCCTTAGCTACTTTAACATAAAGCCCTAAAAGAAAAACTTAACAATTTAAGATAAAGTTTTATTAAGTTTCTTACACTCATCTCATTAATTCAGAAAAGCAAATGTAAATTTAGTTTTCTGTTTTAGCAGTTACATGTTAGGAAAGATAAGTTACATCATACAGTAAACAGTATTGTCTCTGTTTACCATGAGGATAAAGGGACCATATTTCTTATCTAAAAACATTAATGCCATGGATCTATCAGTCATATTTCTTCTACATATAAAACTAATATTAAAAATGTTAAATGACCTACAACTATAAACTAAAGTATAAACATTTCATATCTAGAATTAGCCAGTAATGTACTGCCTAATTTTCAATGACCTTGTGTCATTAACAGTTAACATATATAATAATAGTAACCAACTATAGTAAACAATTCAAAAAGAAAATATCCTAATACATTGAAAATTTTTTCCTTAGACAGTATACTTAATTTAAAATTTAGCCAAAAATATACCAAGCCTTTAATGACTAGATTACATTCCCTATTTTCAGAAACACATTTTATAGTCATCAGCTAATTTAGTTTATAGTATGCAACCTAGGCAAATAACATAAAATCCATAAAATATCAAAATAAAAAACAAGTCTCATCCAGTTCTGTCCTTCAACTACGGTTCCCTGTACAATACAACCAGATATTAGCTTCATAAATGTCTATTAAATATTTCTGCTACACCAGTTCCATGGTATGCTGTCCTAGCCATTTCCTATCAAATCCTTATTTCTGGGCCTTCCCAGAGAAAGAAATTCTGTTGCAGTTTCACACATTTTCCGCCATGTTTTCTCTAACACAGCTATCATATATTCTATTCGGAACTTGCTTCCTTCACTTACCTTGCAGACCTTCCTAATCATCAATCAGTCCACAAGAAGTTACCACACCTCATTCTCTTTAGTAGCTGCTGTATTTCCTTTTGTATGAACATACTGTACTTTATTTTGTCAGTTCCCTATTAATGGACACTTATCTCCATCCTATGGGGCTATGTGAGATGTGGAAATTCCAGAGTGGAAATCTTGTATCAATCAGTATGTGCTTTTGTGATTTTGATAAATTACTGCCAATTTGTCCTCCCATGGATGTTTTAATTTATACTCCTGCAAGCAATTTATGACTGGCCATTTCTGGATATTTTTGTTAACACAAAAGTTATCAAACTTTTGGCTGCCAATCTACTACTCAAAAAATATTCCATAGTCATCCTTATATCCATTTCTTTGCTTACAAATGTGGCGAATACTTAACAGCCATTCAAACCTGGTTTCAAGCATTTTCATGTATTGCAGAGAATGGAAAACCACATGCAACATTTCCCAGCCTCTCTCTGACTTTACAGTCTTAGAAACTGAGGTGCAAAAAGTCATACAAGTGGTTAGTCTGACTTTAAACCAAGGTAGTCCAGTGGCACAATGCCTCAGTACTAGGGACTGAACTCAGAGCCTCACAAGCGTTCTATCACTGGAGCCACACCTCTATAGTTCTTTTTGCTTCTAATTTACTTTTTCTTTTCTTTTTTTTTTTTTTTGGTTGTTGTTTTGTTTTTCAGATAAGAGTCTCACACTAACTTTGCCCAGGCTAGTTTTGAACTGAGATCCTCCTATATCCACTTCCCAAAGAGCTGGCACCACAGTATGCAATGCTCAGCTTGTCTTAGAGGCAGGAACTTACTACCTTTTGCCTGGACCAGCCATGAACTGTGACTCTCCTGCCTCTAGAGTAGCTGGAATAACAGGGATGCACCACCACATCCAGCCAGTGCATGTTCTTGACCACATTCACATGCATGTAGGCACATACACAAATTGCATTCTCTAATACTAATGTTTATAGCCAATAATTCTAAAAAATATTTGATTGATTTATGCATATGCCTCTTTGTACTGTAACTTACATTCCTCTCTTGAATAATAGTTTGGTAGTATGTAATTCTGGGCTGGCAGATATTTTATCTCAGCAGTCAAAGATTCTGCTCTGTGGCTCCTGCCATCCATTGTTGCTGATAACACTGCTGTTGGCTACCATTCTTGTGTAAGTAGTCAGTCCATTCTTGTTAGTAGCTTTGAGTATTTCTTCCTTATTCCTAATATCATTTACTCCATTAAACTCATCTGCAATTCCTACTAAATATTGTCTGAACCCTTTTGACCTATTTTTGTTCAACTCTTTATTTTAACTCTTTAACTCTTTGATATTGTGCTCAGGATGAAGTTTTTATAAGCAGAAGCAACCTTAAAGTCTAGACAGCTGTTTAGGAACAAGTCTGAAGGTCACAGCAAAACAGAGTTAACAAGAGGCAGAGACCCATTCATACATACATTACACTTAAAATGAGCCTAGAGATAATCACTGAAAACTCAAAATAAAATGTAAGATTTTATTGTACTTTCAAGCCAATAAGTTAGCCTGCACAGTTTCATAAATGTTGGCATAAGACACAAGACTATCTGGGCCACAGATAGAGGACTTTACTATCCCTGGCAAAGTAGCAGCCAAAGCCTAGAGCAATCTACATCCACTGTAACTACCCCCACGTCCACCTGAATGTCATAGGGATATTGCACAGAGCCTAAGATGGCTGCCTGTGCAATATAAAAGATACTATGGTTAGGATATCCCTTTATCATAAGCAAAAACAATCCTATTTGTCCAGGATAAGACATTACCTCATCCTATAAGCATAGTTCTGAAGACCTAGGTAAAAAGCATCAGGAACTTGCATTCTTACTATACTCAGGAAAAGTTTGCAGGGATACTCGGGCCTTGTGGTGGATGAACTAAGTTTTCACATGAGTAACAACAGCAGTGGCTTCCTGTAGCAGCAGCTGGATCCACTTTGAAGTCTTCCAACACTCACAGGCCAGCTTTAAACACAACCCCCAATTCCCACCCAAAGAAATCCATAGTAGCTACATGAGCCTGCCAGAACACCCTTGCCAGAGGTCTGAGTTCCAGCTCTTCATGCCCCTTCCTCTTAAAGTTTCTGAGTTGTAGTAATTAAAACCTCTCCCCCACAGTCCTTCTTCAGTCATAGCTGCTTCCTGTAAGAGCAACCTCTGTGGCTTTAGAATACTATTGTTAATCAATCACTTACCTAATTAACAACTTTGTGTCCAGTTAATAACTAATTATATTGAACTCTTTCTGTTAAAAATCTGTATGAATTTTCTTGACTAGAAAAGTCTAGTCATAATAGACTAGATAACAAAGTCTAGAACATAACACAGAAAAAACATAAATAATCCATATTCTATTATTATCTGTTATAACAACATTTACTTATTTTAAAAAATCAGGAAAAAGAAACAATGTTTAAATCATAAGCAGTTCCTCTATCTTGAACCAAATACAATCAGCGTCCGATATGTGGGTCTCCCATACATGATTTCAACCAACCAAGGAAGGAAAATATTTGGGGGAAAATTGCATCTGCACCAAACATACGCAAACTTTGTCTTGTCACTATTCTCCTAAATAACACAAATATTTGTATAGCATGTACATTGTGTTGGATACTATAATCTAGAGATGATTTAAAGTATACAGGAAGATGTGTAAATGTGCCATTTTATATAAGGGCCTTGAGCATAAGAGGACTTTGATGTCCATGGGAGGTCCTGGACCAATCCATCAGAGATTCAAGGGACAGGTGTATTATTAATGTTTTGACATATTTCGATCACCATTTTTCTATACAATTAAAAAAACTGTATATAATTTTATACAATTATTCAATTAGGTAGTTGAATTTTTATTGTCTTTTGCTGCTACTAAATATAGTACTGCTCAATTTCTACAAAAGTCTAATTTACTGTATTTACTTCCCTTTACTCGTCTACCTATTACAATATGGCTTCT